TAGATGAAAAGGCAGCAACAAATTAGATTATTTAATCATATTTCATTCTAACTAAGAAGGTATTCTCTGCAATGTGTTTTTGTTTTGAAGTTTATCATAGCATAATGTTAAAAAAGCTGTAAGAATCTGCTACTGTTTTCTTCATAATCAATTTTCATGACCTTAAAAAAATTCCGAAGTTAAATTATTTCCACAAACACACAACTTCATAGTGCTTTGTTGTTTTTTGGAAGAAATCAACCGTAATGTCCACCTTCTTTTCTGAAATTCTACTTCATTTTCCAATGTGGAAACAAATGACAGCCACTCATTAGGTCTTTATGGCCTTGGAGAGACAAATGGGTGAGAGCAGTATGAGGGATGTTAACCCTGACCGGGCATGCTGGGTCCACACGCATGAGCCAAGATGCAGAGGTAATGGAACAACCCCTATCCCCACAGTTGTGCTCTGGTAGTCCAGACAACCCTCTACAGCTAGGGCATCTCTGGTCCTAGACTAAAGTTAGTATGATTTAGTTTAGAGGGTTACAGTCATATTTCTATACTCTTTAGCTACAACATAAAAGTCATGGAATCTCTGTACTTGGAACAGTTCTGTTTCATAGTTCTTTCTAGCATGTTTCTTGTTGTGATTTTTCTCTCCATGTTTTGTGCTGTCCTTCAGTGATTGAGTTTTGTCCAGCCTCAGAACACAGAGAAAAAGGAAAGCTATAGGCAGAGGAAATGATGACATGCCAATAGCAATCCTCAAATTACGAATCTTATAAAAATATAAACCAAGAAACAGACACCTATATGTTTTTTCTGGTGCTACTGTAATCTTCAAATGAAGGTTTTTAGCAAGCTCGACAAATATTTACCAGGTCAAGTTTATGTGGAAAATTTTGTGGCTGTCTTCCCCACAACTTTCACCTCCTTCCTACAGTAGAATTCACCCTTCTGGTCATAATCTTGAATGGCTCTTGTGCATAGCAATAAACACACATTTACCTATTAAAGAGGTTAACCTTCCATCTCAAGTTTGCTTCATAGTGAAAAATAATTGACAAATGATCTAGGTTCTAGGCATTTTGTAGTAGCTCTGTTTAGGTAATGTTAAAGCAGCTTTATTGAAAAACTATAATCTAGAAATATTTACATACATTGTCAGGTGGTGCTGGAGCCATTAGAGTTCAAGGTCCAGTGCTGAGCTTTGGTGTCTTAGAAACTCATTTTTGTCAGGCTTCAGCACTAGAAGAGTGTCATACTTAGCCAACTCACAAGTTTGGCCTGATATGGAAACAAAATTAATCAGTGATCAACTTCCAGTGAGAAACTTAGCAGCAAGGATACTGAAACAATATGTGGACACCTGTTTGCTGAATTTAGAAACACACACATACTTGAACTTCTGTTGGATGGTTCTCACTACCCCAAAGGATGTCAGTAGTATCATCGTTTACTGAGTACCCAGTGCCAGTCATTGATGGCAGCCCTGTAATGGGGCTGTTATTGTTCCATTTTGTGTTATCAGGGAACTTCTGCTGTAATGGAACTAGCAGTGATACAGTGGTGCCTAAATTCAATCCAGTTCCTTCAAAACTCTTGTATTTAATTACCTAGTTTCTGTTGTTTTTTTTTTTAATCCTCATCCAAGGACATGCTTTTGTTGTTGTTGTTGTTGTTGAAGAGAAAGAGGGAGTGAGAGAGGAAGAGAAATTTCAGTATGAGAGAGAAACATCTATCAGTTGCCTCTCATACAATCTTGACCAAGGACCAAACCCACAGCCTATGCATGTGCCCTGACTAGGAATCAAACCTGCGACCTTTTGGTTTATTGGACAATGCTCAGCCATACCAGCCAGGGCCTGAGTTTCTGTTCTTAATGTGGTTTTATAATTTTACTAAGGGGAGGCCTGGCATTTCCAAGGGGGTACTTCAGAAGCACTGTTAGGGGAGCAAAACATACAATTACCTTTGAAAAGAAGGTTCCAATATTCCAGTATTTGAAAACTACATAGTATGCTGTATATGCCATCCCTAATATACATGTGTGTGTATTTCTGTATGAGTATATATATCTGTATTGTGTATATGTATAGATTAGAAGTGGAATATATTAATTAACATAGTGTGTGATATATGTGAAAAAATAGCACTATTGAATTCATTAAGCTTCACTCAGATTTACTTGCCAAGACCCCTACAAAGTAGGTATCTTCCGTGTTGGATCCTTAAGGACAGCGAGAGGGTAGGTATGGTGGCTAAGGTTGCACAGCTGCCATCCACGTCAGTTCCCCTTCAGAACCCAAGCCCTTTATGGTACTACTTCTCTAGTGGTCTGTCTCACCCATCTCCAGAAGTCCTTATGACCCCTTACTGGGTAACTGATACTAAGCAATTCACTACTCATGTCCTGGGGATGGTGGACTTTGAATCAGATGGTTTCTTTCTTTAGGGCAGTTGATTCACTTACAGCTTTCTTACTTGCATTCCTGCCTGAAAGTACATCTCACCACCTTATTTAGAACTAGATGATCCAGTGTTTCTTCAGCATCATCTCTTTGGAAGTGGCATGTGTGATTATGGCATTCCCAGAGTGGGTGAAGTTGGCTGTCTTTATCTCTAGGAGGAATCAACTATCTTCTCTGATGTTGCTTCTTATTGGTGTTTCTGCCAGGGAAGATGTGACCAGATTTTGATTCCTTCTCTCATGGCAGCTGTTTTAATAGTTATCTTCAGTCTTCTTGTTGAAACAGGTCAAATGAGAGTGAAGGCCTGGGTTCAGACATCAGACATCCACAGACTTGAGAAAACTGTCAGCCATTTCCTTCCTGGCTTCCTTGTATCTTTGGGTTATGACTGACCGATTCTAACCTCTATGATTTACTTTTAGAGAGAGAGAAGGGGAGGGAAAAAGAATTTTCATCATGTTCTAGATGCTGATTTTTTTTCCCATGCGTGATTCTTCAAAATTGACTCTATGCCTCTAAAATTCTTTTACTACCCTTCTTAATTCTGGAATTTCACAAAAGTAAGTTTTCAATTTTTGTAAAAAACTGGAAATAAAAGCAAGTATGAACTACTATTGCCTTCACTAATTTTTAGTTCATATTGTTCAGACCCAATTTGTAGTGGATAACAAAAGCTTATCTAGGAGATATCATCTCATGAATTTCTTGAAATGTCTATTTTCTACATTTTTGCTGCACTGATCTCTCATCATATATCTACAAATAAGTTTATACTTCGTAATAATTATTTTTAAACCATATTGGATGGTTGATTTTCCTTTCTGGTAGAAATGAACTAATGAATCGGAGTGTCCCCTGTGCTCTAAAGTAGCAACGTATTTAAACAGAGCTTACAATTTAATCAATAGCACAGAGCTAACTTGATTTGTAGTAAAAAGCTAAAATAGGATACACTATTAGGTTATACCGATTTTATTTAAAGTATAAGTAATTTTACTGAGTTTTGAGTGACTATGGAAAGCCTCAAGTTGTTTTGAAAAGAAAGCTATTTTCTGGTGCTGAGTTTTCACTCTTCCCACATGTAAATTTAGAAAACTGGATTTTTATTTTATTTCACCAGAAGTGGCATCTGAATAACAAATAAAAGTCTCTTGTTTCTAGTTCAAAAAAAAAAGATTAGGAAGGAGTAAGTAAGAAAATTCCTCCCCTCTCACACCCATATTTCAATCTCTTTTATTTTCTACTGAGAGAAAATTCATTATCTGATTTTTTGTTTCATTTATTTCAGTGCCTCTGCTGTGCACTTACTTGGTGGAGCTGGCTTCTTCCAAGATTGTATTCTGACAGGGTGATGGGGCCTAGGGCCTGGCTGTCAGTATGCACTTGCTTTGAGAGGCAAGATGAGAAAATATGTTTCCCCTTCCTTCCATTTTAACTCTTAAAGCCAGTGGCACAAGAGGAATTTGCCATTCTCAGTAGATCTGTCTGTATCTTGGCTTCTCCTTTTTATGGCCTTGCCCTTCATGAATGAGAAAAAGGAAAGTGCAAAGTGTTTAACCTGCCATGGTCAGTTCACTGGATTATCCACACGAAACAATTTCTGTTTAAGAGGGAGCAAGGCAGTGAAGGGATTGTACAGACTGACCATTTTAGAAATGCCTGCCCCAGGAGTTTCAGGGGTGACTGTGGGGAGTACCAGGAGGGGATTGACAACAAGGTGTATTGGAGAATTTATTTTCATCTGCTTAAAGTGTACAGTCTACTTTAGCTCAGTATAACCAAGACATGAACTTGATCAAAACCTCATTCTTTGCCAACTTTCTAACCCCAGGAGCACTTAATTATTGATTATTCACTGAACATGGCTAATCGGGATGTCATGTGAAACGTGAGTGTGAGAGGAAGCCGATTCTTATTGCTGCCTTTCAGAGAGAAGGAGTTGGGTTCAACAAAGTGAGATACAGGTCTATAGAACTAGTTTTATTCATACTGCCAAACTTAGTGTAAAACTCAAGCATGGATATATAGAGTGTCTGATTTCACATTTTTTAGACTTTTGCAATTAGTCACCTTTCCTATTTGTGGGCAACTTTGCCATATGCATGCTCAGCCTTACAGTCAGACATATTTGCTTTCTTCTCTTCTCTTTCTTTTTAATGCAACAACATGATGGTGAGAGGTAAGTTTTTAATGGTGAGCTTAGTATTCAGGTCAAATGGAAAATATGAACTCAGCAGCTACTTTGAGCTCAGATATGTTGTTTAGTATTTCTTCTAATCAGAAAAGCCAAAGGCAGCCATTTATTTTTCTATATTCTAAGTGTCATAAAATACCTCAAAGGTCAATTTCCTTTGGCAAATAATTGTATAGTAGTGTTCTGCCTGCATTATGTCACCATGATATTAAGGTACTGAAATATATATATATGCCTAATATTTTTCCCCAAGACACTTTAAGTTCACTTAAACTCTTATATTTTTTACACCCTCTGCCTGTGGGGATACTTGTTTCATGCATACCTCTGTATCTGGTTTTCTTTTTACCTAGGCCTTCTGCTTTATCTAGTAGCCCGACATATTCGGACCTGCCCTTCATTAGGATCTCCCCACACCGGAACCCTGCTGCAGCTTCTGAGTCACCCTTCAGCCCTCCACATCCTTACATCAACCCTTATATGGACTACATCCGGTCTCTGCACAGCAGTCCATCCCTCTCTATGATCTCTGCAGCCCGGGGGCTGAGTCCCACAGATGGTAAGTCTCAAACCAACCCATTCTGCTTTGACACATCACAACACCTTCTCCCTCTGCCTCATCTGGGACATGGTGTTGAGTAGCTCTGATGTTTATTGAGTGTTTCCCATGTGCTAGATACTGTGCTAAATGCTTTAAGTGCATGTTTTCATTTCAATGTAGGGACACCTCCATGAGGGTGGGGTTATAATCTTCATTTTCAGGTAAAGATAGCAATGTGCAGAGGGGCCAAATAATTTTCATCCTGGTCCATGGCTAGTAAGTGACAGAGGTGGAACTCAAAGCCAGATTTCACTTACTATAAAATCCTTGTTCTTATTTACTGTTTTGTTCTGCAGCTTCACAGAAGTTTAGGTTGACCCTGTAGCCTTTCATACAGTGTGCGTGTTTAACCAGTGCCTTTTGCCTACTGTTTGATATATACTCTTCTGTCCTGCATGTCTGATAGGCACATTTATACAGGTGTGTCTATTAGAGCAGCTTTGCTCAAACTCCAGTGTGCATATGGATCACCTGGGTGGGGTGAGTCCAGGAGGAGCCTGAGATTTTGCACTTCTGAAAATCTCTCAGATAAAGTTAGTGCTGCTGGTCCATGGACCACTCACTAAATAGCAAGGTCTCAGAGAACTTGATGGTTCAGACGTATTTGCTGCATGTGCTGTCTATCCTTGATCATGCCAGACAAAAAGTAGAACAGGGAAATGGTGGGAAAAGAAATGAATTCTGTAATAAATGAACCTTAACTCTGTAATACCTGATGCTCAATTTAGGCTCTCAAGTATCAAATTCTGGTTGGTTCTATTAGCCTCCTAATTAAATACTTTGACATGACTCTTTTTAATAGGAGTCATGTATTCTGCGGTTGTCAAGTTCTAAACCATTTCTTCCATTCAAGAACATTTCCCATTGCATATACACATGTTCAAATTCACTTGCCCATAATTTCTAGAGCCTGAATTAAGGGCCATAATGGCATAAGCCTTATTGATTGCAGATAGTAGTAGGTTATGAGTCCTCTATAGCAGGTCACAAATCACTGATGCTTTTTTAAGAGGACAGAGCAACACCATGCAGTCCATCTCACTGAGCAGTGTTTGAAGTGGCCCTGCACTGTCCCCCTTGTCCATGCTAACCACTCTCTGAGGCTTGCTTTGCCAGGTGGAAATAGTATGTGGGAAAGCTGCATGAGGTTGCACAGTAAACATATACTTAGTTGTACTTCCAGGAGTATCAAGTGCTCCCGGAATAGCAATCAGCTTGTTGAAAGGCACCTAAAGAGAATATATTTTACTATTTGGACAAAATTCACATATGGTATTTTCTTTCAGTTTATTGAGATATAACAGACATAAGCACTATATAAGTTTAAGGTATATAGCATAATGACTTACATATTTTGTGAAATGATTATTACAGTATAATCACAGTTATATAGATACAAAAAAGAAAAAGTGTCTTTCCCTCATGATGAGAAACTTGAGTATTTACTCTGCAACTTTCAGATATACCATATAGCAGTGTTAACTGTATTCATCATGCTGTACATTATATCTCCAGTTCTTTTTTATCTTATAGCCAGAAGTTTGTAAGATTTATGTTTTAATAATAAAATTGTCAAGAGAGTCATGTGCAAGTCATGTTCTGCTTGGGATTTGGTTTTAGAATGGGGAAAATGGAGAGTCACCTCCATGGAGTACTTGGGAGTTTATGGAAATGACTAACAAGAAGGACAGAGGAAGAAGGTGATAAGGGAGGTCAGCTAACAATGGATTTGAAATTGTGCCTGGCTCGCTGAAATTTAGTTGAGCCACTTACTTTAGAAAGTAAGACCTCTAATTAAAGCATCTTATCTTCTGCTATCCATAGTATTTCATGATGAGTGTGAATAAGACATTTTTTATTGGGGTTCTAACCTTCCTTCTCCTGCCTCAAGAGTCCAATAATAGACAAATAAAGTTAAGTCACTAATATTATTCTCTTGTGGTCTCAAAGTTTTTAATATACATCTCTGTCTTTGTAATAAATAAAAATTCTATTGGCATACAAGTTAAACACAAAGTTATTGCTAGAATGCCAGTTTTTCTACATAGTTAATTGAAAAACTAACTTTTATTAATAGAATGGTATGAGCTATTAAGCACCTTACATGCATCATTGCATTCAGTACTCCCAGCAACCTCACAGAGCAGTAAGAGGTAGAGCTAGCATTTGTATATAGATCTTCATGAATCTGGAGACCACACTCAGAACCTCTGCAATATCCTGCCAGTTTTGCATGTAAATTGGCAGGTGGAAACCAGTTATTATCCCACTCTTATAGAGCTGACTCTTGCCAGTACATCGTTCCATATTGGTAGGTATATTTTCCCTCTTGATTTTGTAGTGAAAAAAAGAGTTTTTAAATTATGGAACACAAAATTGCAGCTTCTCACCTAATTGTGTGTTACTGAAGCTGTGCTGACTATTCCACCTGTAAGTGCTGGGTCCTCCATATGTTGAGAACTGACTCAGACACTCCTGTCAGAAAGCTGAGAGAGGACTTCCACCAAGATGTAGGTAGAAGCACTGTGCCTTCTCACACAACCAAGTTTAAAAACAACAAAGTTTTAGCAACAAAAACACAGCCAAAGCACAGAAAATTGAACTATATGGAAGTCTGACAACAACGAACCCTTCAGCCAAACCAGTAAGAGGGGCAGAGCCAGCAGCAGAGCTGGGTCCGGCAGGAAAGATCCACTGGACCAACTCGAGCGCGCAAAAGCACCAGCAGCCGTGGGCGGATCCCGGGTGTGGAGTAGCGGGTGGACCCACTGAGGGTTGACTGAGGTCACACATTTGTGCGCAGATAAACTGGTGAAGGAGCAAGTGGTGACACAGACCCTGCAGGCCCCAGTGGCAGGAAGCAGCAGAGGGGATCTTGATTGTCCCTCTCTGACCCCGCCCCCATATACATCATCACAAACCAGCTACCTGGGTGGCCACGCCCTGGTGAATACTTAAGGCTCCACTCCTCATACATAACAGGCATGAACAGATCAAAACATGGCTCAAGAGCAACTCAGAGCCCCAGAGCTGATAAATCTAAGCGATGAAAAATAGCCAAACTTTCAGATGCACAGTTCAAAACACTGGTGATCAGGTTGATTTTAGTCACAAATTAGAGAAACATATGAAGGCTAAACTAATTGAAATGAATGGAAATGCACAGGAAACCAATAGTAATGGAAAGGAAACTGGGACTCAAGTCAAAGGAGTGGACCAGAAAGAGGAAAAAAATAACCAAACAGAAAAGGATGAAGAAACAAGAATTCAAAAAAATGAGGAGAGGCTTCGGAACCTTCAGGACATCTTTAAACGTTCCAACATCCGAATTATAGGGGTACCAGAAGGGGAAGAGGAACAGCCACAAGTGGAAAACTTATTTGAACAAATAATAAAAGAGAATTTCTCCAATCTGGCAAAGGAAATAGACTTCCATGAAGTCCAGGAAGCTCAGAGTGTCCCAAAGAAGTTGGATCCAAGAAGGAACACACCAAGGCACATCATCATTACATTAGCCAAGATTAAAATGAAAGAGAGAATCCTAGAAGCAGCAAGAGATAAGGGGACAGTCACCTACAAAGGAGTTCCTATAAGACTGTCAGCGGATTTCTCAAAAGAGACCTTACAGGCAAGAAGGGGCTGGAAAGAAGTCTTCCAAGTCATGAAATCCAAAGACCTACAACCAAGATTACTCTATCCAGCAAAGTTTTCATTTAGAATGGAAGGACAGACAAAGTGCTTCTCAGATAAGATCAAATTCAAGGAGTTCATCATCACCAAGCCCTTATATGAAATGTTAAAGGGACTTACCTAAGAAAAAGAAGATAAAAAAGATGAACAGTGAAAGGACAGCAAACTCAGTTATTAACAACCACACCTAAAACAAAAGCAAACTAAAAGGACAGCCAGATCAGGAGCAGAACCATAGAAATGAAGATCACATGGAGGGTTAGCAACAGGGGAGTGGGAGAAGGAGAAAGGGGGAGAAGGTACAGAAAATAAGTAGCATAGATTGTAGGTAGAAAATAGATAGGGGGCAGGGCAAGAATAGTATGGGAAATATAGAATCTAAAGAACTTGAGACACGTGGTCATAAACTAAAGGGGGGGATGGTGGGGGAGGGGTGTGCAGGGTGGAGGGGAATGAACGGGGGAATAGAACAGCTGTAATGGCATAATCAATAAGATATATTTAAAAAAGAAAGCTGAGAGAAATATGGTAAGCATCTAGAAAGAAATCATGGTTGTTTAAATTGTCAACTAATGTAAGGAAGGTGAACATCCAGTGATTTGATATAAGAAACAATTTTGTTTTGTAAGGCAGACATGGGAATGACTTAACTGTATACATACATTTTAATAATTTTAAATTCTTGGTGACTTCTTTAAACTGTAGAGTTGCAAAAAATAATTTTTATTTCACCTTTTATGATCTTGTGGCTGGGCTAATAATTAATATGAGACATATTAGCACAAAAAATGCCCCTAATTTGTTACAGGTGTACTTTTAGGAGTGTCATAAAAATATGAGACCTGAAAACACATTTGAGGCTTATGTGCCATTCTGGAAAGAGGGGAGGTAGACAGGGGCCTGGGGTTTCAAATGGAAAGTAGGCAACTTAACAGGTGGATGAGAAAGAGCATACATATGGTAAACAAGTACTTGATGGGCCACCCAGAAACAATGGACACAGAAGGATGTCCTTTTTTAGATTTTATTCTATGTGCTACACTTAATTTATATTATGATCCTAAATTCTTCTCCTTTTAAAAAATTGGTAAGAAGAGAAATATGGTTAAGCAGTAAGAAGGTCGATTTTAAAAAATGTGTCAATTACAGTTAACATTTATATCAGTTTTAGATGTATAGCATAATGGTCACACATTTAAATAATTTACAAAATGATCCCCTGATAATTCTAGTATCCAGATGTGTTCTTTTAAGCAGGTTTTTCTGTCAGAATTCCTTTAGGCATGTAGGGAAGAGCGTGAAAGTTTCTTTCTGACTCTTTTGTTTCATAATAACCAACTTAAAATCAGTATTCCAAAATGTATATTTTGTGGTGGCAAAACTTTCATCCCTTCAAAACTAACCTCAAATATTTTATAATGTATTTAATTTTTTCTGTTTTTTTTCTTCAGTTTTATTTTCAAATAAAAGATATTTGGTAGAATTTAGTGAAAACACAATTTGAGTTAAAGGAATTTTACTAGAATGAGCCATAAAAGGAATTACTGATGCAGACTACATAAGAAATGTACTTTATTGACCTTGTTTCAACCAGTAACTCTGCTTTTCTTATCTTGTCTTCTCTTCTAGCGCCACATACTGGAGTGAGTCCAGCAGAATACTATCATCAGATGGCTTTGTTAGCTGGCCAGCGCAGCCCCTATGCAGACATCATTCCATCGGCTGCCACCGCTGGCACTGGGGCCATCCACATGGAGTATCTTCATGCCATGGAGAGTAAGTGATGGGGCTATTTTCTGTAGGAATGGCAAATGCTAACTCATGAAATGGAGAGGAAGATGCAAAAAGTAGGTAATTATCTAACTTTACCATCCAGAGGAAGAGGAGGCGTCATCAACACTAGGTGCCCTGGTTCCCTTGGTTTTCTAGGAAGCTGCCACAGGTTTGGGCATCATGGGAATCCCTGTTTAGCTTGGGAACATATTGGAAGGTGCAGCCCATTATAATTTGGGAGATAAACAAAAGTAATTGTCCTGCCTTGCTTGTCTTGATAACAAAATAAGGAAATGTGTTTCATTACATGAATGTCTTTTGCCTAGTCATTCATTCCTTGGTTTTATTGATTTTATGTCTTAAAAGTTAATTTTAAAAAAGAGCTGTACTTGGTTTGACTTTTTTCTTGATTTCTTTTGCCTCATGTTTTCTTACATTAAAATTGTATTTCACTAAGACTTTTTATCTAGGAAAAATAAAAAGCATTTTCAAATTAGAACACTGTTTTTGGTACATAACAGTGGAAGAATATAGGATCATTTGGTGCTTTTAACAAAGATTTTATTTACTTATTTAGAAGGGAAGGAAAGGAGAGAGGGAGAGAAACATCAATGTAGGGTTGCCTCTCATGCATTCCCCACTGGGAACTGGCCCGCAGCCCAGGCATGTGCCCCCACCAGGAATCGAACTGCACTCAGTCCATTGAGCTATACCAGCCAGGGCTCATTTGATGCATTTTATATCAGTTATTTTGGGGTCCCTCAAGGCTTGTGATGATTTCTTTGGGTCACTTATCAAGACATGTAGACAAATGGGACTATGATTATTACTTTATAGAACATCTAAGAGATCTCAGTTACAAAGATTCTTTGAGCACAGTTGTCAGGTGCCAGGAAGTGACTTGGTGACATCATCCAAAGCATACATCAGTGAAAGCCACTACCCTTTGAGTATGACAATGACATGACTTTGCATACTATGGAATATGCTTGAGATCTTTATTTGTTTGTTTTTCCTAGTAGTGATTATCTAGTGGTTTTCCAGCTGTCATCTATATTCTTTTGTGAAAAGGGTATATATTTGTCAATTCTCTGGCACTAGTTAGTAATTCAGTCCTCAGGTCTGGAGAATGTTCACGCAGTGTAGAAATCTACAGCTTCAGTCTTACTTTCATGAACTAATGTAGCTATTTTACACAGTAACATAAGTTTGCACTGGTTTGCATTGTGGACTTTGTTACCACACGCAAAGTGGAAAAAAAATGAGTGTGTTATATGTTCTGCCGGGCCTTTGCTCTGTAGAGGGGAGAGCTTAAATCTCAGATTCATCATAACTACATTTCAGTTAAGGATTGTAGGGAGAAAAGGTTAGTGTTATTATGCAAATTAGTTACTTAAAATATTCAAATAATTAAAATAAGATAGAATCCTTGGGAGGTCAGACCATATTACCTTCCCTATTTCATGAGAATATGTCTAGTCAGGCAATGGGAGTTTTATCTAAATAATGAAGCTTACCCTTTTTCTTTGTAAAAACTAATTAAGGCATTTTAATTTGCCTAAGTATATGGTAAATTGATCTCCATTATGTAGGAATTTAGATGTCCTATCATTCATTACATAGAAGGAAACTCCCTGCCCTGGCTTGAGTGTGGGCCTGCAAAGCAAAGGTTCACAGGTTTGATTCCCAGTCAGGGCACATGCCTGGGTTGTGGGCCAGATCCCCAGCAGGGGGTGTGTGAGAGGCAACTACACATTGATATTTCTCTCTTTCTCTTTCTCCTTCCCTTCCCATCTCTCTAAAAATAAATAAAAATATTAGAAAAAATTCCCTTTAAAAAAAGGAAACTTCCTTTTCTTTGTCAGAATTTTTTATTAGAGTGGAGAAACAAAGCAATTAACAAAAACCAACCTGAAGATTCCTGCATTGGAACAATAAGAATTCTTGACCTTATATTTTAAAAGGGGACAGTTTGATTGGTGAAGATCTGGGCCACTTCTCTTTCAGATGTTTTGAAAATGCTTACCTTGTCTCCTCTCCCCTTCAACAAAGGATCCCAAACACTGTCTCAAAATGCTAACTTTCTCTTTTCTTTGCTTGATTATTAGGGGTTTGGGAAAAGTATAGTTTGGAAAGTGCATAAAGTACTATGTTCTTTCTTTCTAAAATAATTGAAATGGCATTTGGTTAAAGATCACATAAGAAGTATACACAGAATTTAGGAGATTTTTCCAGTACTGAAGTGAAATAGTTTTAAATATTGCATTGGAGGAACACCTGTAGTAGCAGAGCTACCGGGATCTAGCTGGTCACTCTGACCCATTGTTCCAGATCTGGATTCCTCAACTGGCAAAAAACACAATAGACTGATTTCAGATGAGCACCTGATTTTTAAATGTGCCAACAATGGGTGTATCTGGGTTCTAGCCAACTTTAAGATAGGGTATTTCTGTATTGCACATTAGAAATGAGCCCGTTTAATGTCTCTAATTCTACCTTTGGGGATTCAAGTGACTTTAAAAGACAGGAGAACAAGTAGTATCCCTATAAGGAACACGCTAGAGATGAGGGCACCTGAAACACATTGTTTATATTAGAGAAAACTGACTTAAACAAGCGCCCCTTTTGGAGGGAAAAATTGAGGAGCTGGACCAGTCAGTTGGAGTAGAGGGTACATGGAGAAATATGAACCCTGTGTTTGTCTTTGAGTGATGTGAGGGAAATATAAGTATTTTATCACTAGTATTTTGTAGCATCATATGGCCTCCTTAGCTAGTTAGTGATTTAAAAAATTAAAGGCATTGCAGGGATCAGGTCTTCCTAGAATGTCCTGTTACTTCTTACTCTTCCAGTGATCCCCGAGGCCCAGTGAGTCCTATGAGAAGGGTTATTGTTGAGGGTTATATGGAAGTCAATTCTAAGTCCTGTTTGTCCTTGGAATCATTTGGAAGTGGACTGTAATTCTCTATTGAAAAACTTGTATGATGAAATTAGCCTCTCATAGTGAGTAAATATGATACATTTATGTGTAAGGCAGATTCCATAATAAAAGTAGGGTGCTGATTTAAACACTAAAAATGTGTACATAGTTGGGATTGCTATTTTTTTACTAACATGCTCTAAATCAGGTAACGAAAGTATTCTAAATGAAGAATCTCAATTTTAAATGTGCCTGAAAAAAATTTGAGTAGATACCACATTCATCATTCAAATTGGTTTTCTAGCTTTATACATAGATGGTACTAACTTACTAAGTTCCAGTTTGTGATTTATTTTTTATTAACTATGAAGTATATCTCTATTCTATAATGTTATCTATAGAGTCTTTATATTCATCTATTTCATTTTGTTAAATTAAAGTACGTTAGACTGTGGATCTTGTGTCAAGGTCCATCCCTGATGAAGAAAATATTACTAATAGATTTTCTGGAGACCAGCTATATAGACTTTTTATATAAAGAAGGCTTACCTTTTACTTCAGTTTTCTAGGTACCATAAAATTGCCATGTTCATATAAGCAGGTATAGCCATGCTATGACATAGAAACCTTCCATTATTACTTAAAAGTGATCATGTTTTATTTGCCCTTTATCTATTGGGATTATGTTCTCATTCTTTCATTAAAGTTTACTTTGATGACATTGTAATGTAAATGTAACTTTAGAAAAGCCAGGAGTGGGCCTGTAGGCCACACTGAGAGCTATGCTCTGAAGTTCAAATCTCTAATGTCTACTGAGTTGAAAGCAAATGGGCATTAATTTATTTAACTCTCCAGTTAAGAAGTGTTGTATTAAGTTAGCATGCATTTAAGTTGTGAGTTGTTAACTTCCAGGTTAGAATTTCATTGGCAGAATCTTCTTGAAGGTGAAAAATTCTAATAAATGTAGAGAAGTAATTAATAAATCCAGAAGATTAAAATAGTCTTATCAAATCTCATTATAATGTTCTCAGGGTTTTTTTCCTCCCCCACCTTGGAATATCTTTAAACAAACTACATCCCAGGATCGTAAATATTTTGGGGACTTATATTGTTAGGCTATCGGGATTTCAGGTTAGTGTTCCTCTTAGGGCCAGATAGTTTCTCGTTATGGGGCAGGGGCTGCCCCACACATTGTATGGTGTTCAGCAGCATTTGTGGCCTCTACCCACTAGATGTAAGTAGCACCCGTGAGCTGTGATAACCCAAATGTCTTCATGTGTTGTCACATGTCTCCTGGGGGCAATATTGCCCTCTAGTTGAGAACCATTAATTTGGATAATGTATTTAGCAGTATTTTAATAAAGCTTTAAGTATAAAATGAATCAGATAACTACAGAAATTGGTGGGAAATGAGTGCATAACCAAGCTGAATTTTTTATCTTAAGACACTTGAATTCATTTTTCTTTTAGCTCATTGCCTTAAAGTGGTACTTACTAGGGTGGGGAGGGTGGTGTGTTGTGTAACTGTGGGAACCACTGTCTTTGTTGCTTGTGGTGAATTAATGATTGGGAATATCTAAGCAGCCATCAGAGTCATAAATCACTAGAAATGAGAGGGATAACACATAAAAGTCTTTCCCTTTTGTTTAGCAATTTATCATTTTGCCTGCACATTAATAAACAGAGCTCCCCTGAGGTAAGTTCCTGGAAGATAAATATTTCTCCCTAATTTCCTCAATTGTAGCCAGTAGATCACAAGTGGGAGGAGAGTTACTTGTCATTGCAAGTTGCCACTTCATATCCTTCATTTCTTCTATACAGGCGAGTAGCAATAAATAACAAGTACTGCAGGTATTCAGGTTCTGTTTTGTTTATTAATAGGCACCAGATTCCCGAGCCCCAGGCTGTCAGCCAGGCCAAACCGAAAACGTACACTGTCCATATCACCACTATCCGATCATAGCTTTGACCTTCAGACCATGATAAGGACGTCTCCCAACTCCTTGGTCACAATTCTCAATAATTCTCGCAGCAGCTCTTCAGCAAGTGGCTCCTATGGTCACTTATCTGCAAGTGCAATCAGGTATGTATTTTCCCAAAGCTGTATTTGTTTCTTTAGTAAAACCTCAGCTATGGACTGTACCTGGATTTGCAGTACTGACTCCCTATGAGGAAGAATACAGCAACATGACACTGGGCCTGACCCAGAATGCAGATTAAATATCACTACACTGAATTCAAGATCCAGTTACTGGGCCCACAATAATTATTTTTGCATACTTTAGTCAGTAGTACATATATTCAAATAGTCGTTATTCAGTTATGATGAAATTTACTTCATAGAGACAGTGAGTATGGCAAATCTTTTAATCCTAGCCCCTCTTACTGGTTATAGTTCTCAGAAGAGAAACTGACTTCATACCTGGTTGTGCAACACATGCAAGAACAAGAGCCAAAAGCAAAAGACCAGGCATGGTATAATTCACATCTGTTACTACCGGGGTAAAGCATGCACTGGGTAGAAGAAAGAAAAGGTGACAGGAGGGCCTTCAATCTAATGGAAAATAAGTGTGGATGACATTGTAAGGCATATCTATCATAGGAAATCCGGGGAAAAAATTTGTTGTAGTAACATACCATATTTACTAGAAATGAATACTGGTTGTTTCTTTTAGAAGGTTATCAATTACAGTTTTAATTATTTTCCTGTTCAATTATCAGCAAAGCTCCTTGGCAGGCAAGTTATTGTTTAAATGTTATAAATCTCCATTTTTATATGATGTCATTTTCTGCAGTGTTCCTTTGTTCTTTTGATATGGCCAATAAAGTATCGAAACTTGGAGGAAAGCAAATAACTGCTTACATGATAGCAGTCAGTAGATAGAAAGGGGTTCTGTATGTTTTCAAAATTAGCCACTAGAGTAAAAAATGTATCTTTGGAATTGAGGATATCTGTAGGAAGATTCCAGCTTTGCCACCAACCATCTGTGTACACCTGGCTCAGTGGTCAGCCCTCTGAAGCTGTTCATGCTTATGAACTAAGACAAGATACCTGTTGTACATGAGAGGGTCACGTTTAATTTAAGCTGGTGTGGATTTGAAATTCCAGGATAAAGACTGGGAATGACCATATTCCCATTGGTAGAGCCTCAGAGAAACTGACCCTAAATGATTTATCCAGGAGATAAGCTACTGTGGCCTGTTTGTGCTACCCTGTGATCATTCCAAGTCTGGTTCTGAGTCAGTACACCCAACGTAGAACAGTGACCTGGCTGTTCTGCACCTCTGGCAAATACTCCTGGTGTCATAGATTGCCACTGACCGTGTAACTATTATGTGGCTTAAGTAGAAGTCATAGTGTCAAAGTAGTAGAAATGTAGTACATGATGGTATTCACACAGAATCACTCAGAGTCTGCATTTCTCATGCTTCTTGAAGGAATTTTTCTTCCCTCTTGCTCTCTGTCCAGCTATCTGGACTTTCTGCAGCATCTAAAGGATTTATATTAAAATATAGTGTGCAAAATACAGTGTTGTCTTTATTTTTACCCCAGCATCTCACTGACTTTTTGATCACCCTTTTGATCGCACTTGCCCAGGTAATCTCGTACTCGTACTTGGAAGATGTCAGTACACTGACTTGGATTACACTTTCCTTAACCTTCATTTCTTCCTTTATTTTTTGTTGTACTCAATGAGTTCTCTGAGCATCCTTATCACCAGTGTTTTGAATTCTGCTCTGATAGGTTGGCTGTCTCCATTTTGTTTAGTTCTTTCTCTGGGGTTTTGTTCAGTTCTTTCATTTGGGCCTTATTTCTCTGCCTTCTCAATTTGACAGTCTCCCTGTATTTGTTTCTGTGTATTAGGTAGAGCTGCTTTTACTCGCTTTTTTAGTAGTGTGTCCTATGTCCTAAGGCATCTGTAAATTATGTGGGGTACAGTTTGGGTAATTGCCAGGGCGAGGCTTGCTTTGCTGCTCCATGCTCCACTTGTGGGGAGGGAGCAGAGAGGGGATGAGGCTGCTGCCTGGCCACCAGAGGTCCAACTGGCACTCGCCTTGTCTCCAGTCACTTCATCCACTTTCGTATGCAATTGGCACCCTTCCAGCTGCTGCCCAGGAATTTGCATACATTCTAAGTCCATGAGGGCCCTTTATGTAGTGAAGATCTAGAACTTTCTTCTGCTGCCCAATTCCCCACTGGTTTTTACAGCCAAAGGTAATGGGGATTTCTCTTCCCAGGGCTAGAACTCTGAGGTGTGTGGTCTGGCCTAGGACTGGGCTTACTCACTTCCAGGGTACCACTCCCAGTTTTTATCCAACACAAGTGAATGCAGGACTCTCCATTCCACTGCTGCTGCCTCCACCACTGCTTGTCCACGCCACACCACATCTCTATCCATCTTTGGAACTATACCCTTCCTACGCATCTGGATGAATGTGGCTTCCTTAAATCCTTGGTTATTAGACTTCCATACAGCTCAATTTTCTGACACTTCTGGGTGTTATTTGTTTTTGAGATCTGGTTTTAATTCTTTTTATGGTTGTGTGAGGAGGTGAAGTGTGTCTGCCTACACCTCCATCTTGACAGGATGCCTGTGAAGGTTACACAATGTGAAGTAAAGAAAAATATACAGGAAACCAACAGTAAGAGGAAGGAAGCTGGGATTGAAGTCAATGATTTGGCACAAAAGGAAGAAATAAACATTCAACAAGGACTGAGAGAAGAAACAAAAGTTGTCTCTTTGCCTCTCCTCAAAGAAATGAGGAGAGGCTTAGGAACCTGTGGAACAACTTTAAACATACCAACAACCATATCATAGGGATGCCAGAAGGAGAAGAGGAAGAGCAAGAAATTTAAGACTTATTTGAAAAAATAATGAAAGAAAAATTTCCTAACTTGGTGAAGGAAATAGACATAGAAGTTCAGTAAGTACAGAGAGTCCCAAACAAATTGGGTCCAAAAAGGACCACACCGAGATGCATCCTAATTAAAATGTCACATGTTAAAGATGAAGGGAGAATCTTAAAAGCAGCAAGAGAAAAGCAGAGAGTTACTTACAGAGGAGTTCCCATAAGACTATCAGCTGATTTCTCCAAAGAAACCTGGCAGGCAAGAAGGGACTGGCAAGTTGTAGTATTCAAAGTCATGAAAGGCAAGGACCTACAACCTGGATTACTCAATCCAGCAAAGCTGTGTAGAATGGAAGGACAGATAAAGTGCTTCACAAACAAGATAAAGGTAAAGGAATTCAACATTACTAAGCCATTATTACATGAAATGTTAAAGAGACTTATTTAAGAAAAAGAAGATAAAAAACTATGAACATTAAAATGATAACAAACTCACAGCTGTCAACAACTGAATATAAAAAACAAAAACTAAACAAACAACCAGAACAGGAATAGAGTCATAGGTATGGAAATCCTTTGGAGAGTTATGAGCTGGGAGTGGGGACAGGGAGAAGGGGGGGAAAGGTGTAAGAATTAAGAGGCATAATTGGTCCATACAGAATAGACGGGGGGGGGGGGGGTTGTCAAGAACAGTATAGGAAAGGGAGAAGCCAAGGAACTTACATGATCCATGGATAGGAACTAAGTGGGGGATTGCTAGAAGGAAGGGGGGACTGGGTGGAGGGGACAAAGGGGAGAAATTGGTTCAGCTGTAATATCATAATCAATAAAATATACTTTTAAAAGTATACTAACTTGAAATTATCATTGTCCCCTGCCTCTAAGGAGCTACAACATACCTCATTATTGTCATTAGAACTGGAAGAAGAGGTCCTGAGGACCTTGTTGCAGTCAGGAGACCTGGGCCATCACATCCTCCTGTTCTTTCATGTTTTCAGCTCTTTTCCATCTGTCCTTTCTCTTGTAGTGTGCGCTCTTTTTCTTCAGTATGCATGTACTGTATGTTAGGTTAAGATGTAGGTTTTAAGGCATATAAGGTAGTACACATAACCCAAGAAGAGGAGAGCTTGCTATATAAACAATAATTATTATCAGTACTGCTTGACAGTTCTTTAGCTAGAGAAATGTTAGTGCTTTGCTTACCCTGTTTTAAGTTTCATTTTATGAAATCTAAAAACTGTTTTGAGGACTAATCAGTAAGTAGCAGGACAAGTGAAATGTGCATTCAGGATGCACTTAAGCTGTGCTACACAGCAGGCCTGAGGCACACTCATTGTTTTTGTCTCACAGGTTTTGGAAAGGATAGTGTTCTTCTTCTATGCATCAACACAGTGGGTCTTTGCAAGAGGAGGCTGACAAAGGTATGCCTGCTGGGCATTAGTGTCAGCACTCAGATACCTTGCTTTTTAATTTACCCCAAATATATTTGCCTTTCATACATACATGTTTTCTAATATCTAGTCTGCTTCTGGTATTAGCAGTACATAGATTAATGATGTCAGTTAAGTATCTAAAAATGTTATTCAATGTTTAAGGACACATATTGAGTTTTCTGAAAAATGTCATGGCCATTTACTTCACACTTGTGTCTTGTTACTCTCCAAGAGACTAATAATACAATTCACCTCTTTGAAATTCCCATGTTTATTCATTGTGTAATTTACTGTATGTTTTCTCCTATAGAACACACTACCAGAAGGCTGAGAACTGTGTATGTCTTGTTCCTGGCCACACTCCATGCACTGCAAAGTCTGCGTTCTAGACACACCTGACACCACTCAACAAATATTTCTTAAATAAATAAATCAAGGAACTCTTTAATTAGTAATTAGAATTGTAATGACCTTTACTAAAGGATTTTTTATATCACAGATGAATAATTAGGGTTTTCAGAAAGTTACAGTCTATAAGGAACATGTATAAAGGACCCCTGGTAATGGACAACAGGGTGGGGACTGACTGGACAGGAGAGGGGGCTGGGCAGGACAGGGAGATCAAGGAAGGAAAAGTTGGTACAACTATAATTGAACAACAATTTAATTTAACAACAAGTTATAGTCTATATGAATAGTGTATTAATATGTCCAGATGTTGATAGTTATACAGAGATAAAAGGATGGATGTAACAAGGGATAAAAAAGCCAAATGTCTATCTTAAGTTCCTATATGGTT